TGTTTTGTTCAAACGATGAGTTATACCGAGATATTTTGCTGAAGATGGAATTGATTACTACCGTGCAAACACTTAGCAAAATTTGAGTTTCTCATTGAAAAGAAAATCATTACAAAAGGTGGGAACAGAGCACGGTTACATCAAAAGTGTTGAAAGCAAAAATACAAAAAAAGGAAAAAGAAAACTAAACTAGGGGGGAGAGATTGGTGAACTCGTCCTCGCCAGCATCGAGGTTGATGGTTGGACTTGCCTCTTGGGCACCGGGCTCAGCATTGCCGGGATGCTCTTGCACCTCGGCCTCCTCTGCCTCGGAATCTGTCTCACCGTCTCCATCTTCAAGTCCTTCCTCGGCCTCAGCTTGCAAAGCGCTGAAAACGTCGTTTGCATAAGGCACGAGGTAGACCGGTAGCGAAGCTGGAGGAGGGTTGACAAACACGTCGGTATCAGATCCCTGGCCGAGGTGTTCGCAGGCGGACTTCCAGCCGGCCTTGAAGTAGATGTCTTGAGTTGCAAAGACTTGCTTTTTGTAGCTTTGCTCGGCCTCGTTAAACCCGGCGTTGTTGGCAGCCCGGCAAGCTTTCTTCTCCGACTTCTTCAGGGTGTCCACCTCGGTCTGGAGCTCATTTTGTTTTTTCTCGGCTGCATTCAGCTGACCGAGTAGCCTATTATTATCAGCATTGGCCATCTCGAGGGAAGCCTTAGCCCGACCGAGCTCGGCTTGAAGGCTCTCGACCTGGCTGGCTGTGTCGTTGGCCTTTTGCCGAAGCCTGTGGATGCGCTCCAAGACGAGATGTTGTTTTTGAATGGCCTGCAAAAAAGCAAAGTTGATTAGAAAGGGGACCGAGCAGAAAGGGAACCGCGCAAACACTTGTGAAATTTTCAAAGGAACATCGACTTACCCTGGCCATAGACTTCACCGACGATTTGACCAACCGGGTGTCGGGGACGTGGTCGCTGCCGACCACGTCGCTCGGTAGTAGCAGGGCCTTGGACAGATCAAAGGCGAGCAAATGCTCTTTGTCAGCCTTGATCGAAGCCGTTGCCAGGATGTCTTGACCCCGATGCTTCAAATGTGGACGCCAGGCCGGCACTGGGGCTGGGGCGTTAGTTGGATGCTCGGTGGTAAGCTCGGCGACTAGCTCGGCGGACGGGTCTGCCCGAGCTCTTTTACCGGCACGTCTTGCGGAGGGTTCTCGGCTGGATTGCCCGGCAGATGGAGAGGCAAGGGCGACCACAGCGCCACTGGATTGACCGGCGGCTGGCGAGCGAGTTGTGACGCTCGGCATCTCGGCGGATGTGGCGGTGAGCAGGTTCTTGATTCTGCTGCGCTTTGCCATTTCTTGTTCCTCGGTCAGGCGGATGAGGGGAACGTCAGGAAGGGACGGATCTAGAGGCGGCGAAGGAGCGCGAAGGAAGTCAGTTACTCTACTCCGGCGCGGGGCAGAATACCTGTAGGTCGGTGTGTAGCTGAGTAGATCGTTGCAATCTCGGTGAGGGTACCGAAGCACGGTCCGAATTGCTTCGACGTTGGGAAATTGGTAGTTGGCTTGCAAGGCTTGGATTGCTGCAAAAGAAACAGGAAAACCGATTAGTTACAAGATAAAGAGTTAAGATAACCGAGCACAATTGAGTAGCTTACATGAAGAACCGAAGCCGTTGTTTATAAACCAGCCCGGCACCTCGGCCGTTTCGTAATTGCCCGACACCCATAAAAAATCGTCGTCGTGCAGATCTTTATCCGGGGTGCCGGTTACGATTTTTTCCTTGCCCGGTCTTATCTTCAAGTAATATGCAAGGCCGTCGCCGGTGTGGCCCATTGTATATTGCCTTAATATCTCGGCTAGACCTAAGTTGGTGCCTAACCAATTGTTCAACTCGTGAACACCGTTGATAATCCTATAGGTGTTGGTGGACACTTGTGTGGGAGCCAGCCCGGTGCGGCGAAGGAACTCGGTTATAAGAGGGTTGAGTGGGAAACGGAGGCCCCCTTCGACTATTGAGAGCACGGTGAAGGGGCATTGGTCAAGTCTGCCCCAGGGTGTGGTCTCCTCTTCTGCCAGTTCGAGATGAACATCGGCCGGGACGCCGTAATCCTCTCTGAAAGCAGCTAGCGCTGCCGGAGTATCCACTAGAAAGCGGAATTTCCCCATTTCTGGCCGGCTTAGTGGACCCCGGCTGATGGGTTTGGCACTGGTTATTGGATGCTGCTCGGTCCTGAGAGCCTCAGGAATGACAGTGGTCCCCTTGGACTCTGCAGGAAAAGGATGGCAAGTGTTAAGTGTGAGCGCGGTTGCGCAAAAGGAGCTGGATTTTAGCTCGGTCATTCAAAGTGCCAAACCACCTCGGTTGTCTATTCTATCTAAGGAGCCAGATCGCCCAAGCAGACCAGATGTTAGCCCGGTTGAGCGACCAGGTCCTTTTGTTATCTCGGTTTTCGCTGGGGTTTGGACGAACTGGTTATTTGCTCGGTTAGGCTGGTTTTTTGGATCAAAAGAGGACCAGGAGCCCGGTTCACCCCAGTTCTTTAGTGTTCTTCATGAATATGAAGAACACCAAGAACAGTGGGAGGTTTGGGACGGATTCTAAGGCCTATGCCCTAAGAGATACGTTTTTGTGCCCTAATGTGTGTAATATGAAAGAAAATAGCAACTCGAGGGATCGAAAACCTTACCTGTGAAGGATTGGAGCTGTTCTTCCAAGAATGAGGAATGGCAGTCGAGTCTGAGGAAATGGCTTGAGCCTCTGAATCGTCAGCTAGAAGAGCAGCAGTAGGAGGAAATGGTATGATGGGGGTCATGAATATGTAAGCACGAGACCGCCCAAATTCAAATTCTGGCACAGACGGCGGGTTGGCTGCTCGATGACCAATGGCAGCCCGCCACGTGTCCCTATTTATGGCAAAGTCAGGGCTGAAGCGACGGGTTGAAAAGACGAAGAGCCAACCGAGCTACTTTCGACGAAGAGGATGTCAGCCGAGGAATGTAACCAGGCAAGTTTGCAGACAATTATGTTAACTAGCCCGGTCAAGGTTAGGCGTCTTGAAGACCGGAGAAATGTTATCTCGGTCGAAGTGAGTAATCCCAGTCACGCTTTCGCGGACGGAATTAAGGGGCAATTGAGAGGGTGATTTATGATCTGGAGTTGGGCCGAGGTAGCGACCGAGCAGGTTGAGAGCCCAACAGCGCATTGGGCCGAGATGATGTACTATTCGCCCAGAGATGGGCTGCCAAAACTTGGGCTGGGTAGAACTTGGGCCGAGCGCGTCCCGCCCCAGACCGTAAAGAAGCGGCTCGGTAAGGAAGTGCTCGGTCGGACCGGGATGCTCGGTCCGAGGATAGCCGAAGCCAGACAAGCCGAGTGACCGACGCCCGGAAAGGCGCGGTTGGCCGAGGTTACCGTTTGACCGGCAAGAAAGCTGACCACGGGGTGCTTCGGGCTAGGCTTTGCCGAGATGCCGCCTAGCCCGGTCCTCCTCGGTCTTTGCCAGGGAAGTGCTTGGGTATGAAGCACGGCGCGGCGCAGCAACGCAAAAAGCAGTTCGGCTACCGAGCTCCAGCTGTGATGGCGGGCAGTTGAGATTAGGTGATGTTCAGCAAGGTCTATGCTGACAGATGGGATAGCAGAGCCACGTGTCAGGAGATGACTGAGAGTGGATATGAGGCTCAGAAGGTATATAAGCATGTCTGCGTCCCCCATACGCGACACACGAACATCTCTGTAAGGGATTCTTGCACTCAAACACTCTCTCCCTTCTCTCTATCCATCCTAAGGTGTGTGCTAACTTGATCGTCGGAGGGTTTTTCCGGCCACACACCGCCGGGTAGCTCACCGTTACTTGCTCGCAGGTGATCAGACATCGACGGAGCTCAGAAGAAAGGAGTACGGGCTTGCCGGAATATTTGCTCCCCGTACAGATATGATAAAGCAATTAAACACATCGTTATACAGTCTTATGAGAATGATAATAAAATTTAAACACAATGTTCATAGCATTCAATGATCACAAATTACTAATCATTTCCAATATCCGAAAGAACAATAATGATTCAAATCAGAATCAAACTAACATGCACTACAACAAAAAAGAGTTTTTACAACAAACCTATATCATGGAGATCATTCTTATCTTGGTTCCTTTGTGTTCTATGTGGACTAAATTAGCACAATCTTTTAATATAAACAAATTAATAAGAAGACCAAACCAAAGAAAAGGAAAAAATTAAAAGACATAATGAGTATTTGAAATCATATTAAGAATTAAAAATAGCTTTCCACCTAATATTAGATTAGATATAATTATGAGAAAAACTTTTGATCTTGGTTTCTTTGTGTCATGTGGATTAAATTAGCAAGAACTTTTGATATAAACAAATTAATAAAAAGTCCCAACTAAAGAAAAGGAGAAAAAAGAAACATAAAATGGGAACCTAATTGGTAATTGAAGTCGTATTAAAATTAAGGATAGCTTTCCACGTAATATTAGATCAAATATAATACTGAGGAGTTTCTATAAAATAAAACTAATCACAAAAGTGGAAAAACAAAAATTTCTTTTCTTCTTGGACATACCTTTATCTGTGGTAACAATGAGATTTCATACAAAAGTTCTAATAGCAGCAGCTTGTTATCTGTGGTAACAAGGAGACTTACTACAAAATTTCTGACACAGATTTCTAAAATAAAAAGGAACAAGCTGTAAGCAAAGTCCCATAGGCTGCACCAAAAAATTTCTTTTCTTCTTGGACATACCTTTATCTGTGGTAGCAATGAGATTTCATACAAAAGTTCTAATAGCAGCAGCTTGTTATCTGTGGTAACAAGGAGACTTCCTACAAAAGTTCTTACACAGATTTCTAAAATAAAAAAGAACAAGCTGTAAGCAAAGTCCCATAGGCAATAGGATCAAGGTTATATTGGACCAACTAGAAACCTATTATGCTGATTATTCTATTTGAAGTGTGCCACAGAGGTCTTGTTTGACCTAATATTTTTAAATATACCAGCATTGATAAGTTATGAACTATGGAACTAGAAAATAAAACAGTTAGTTTCATGAGACTGGGAAATATAATCCATTCTTCGTATGCAGGGGAAAAAATAACTTTGCTATTAGCTTTCTTTTTCTTTGTTCCAATAATCATTTTACATTGCAAAGCAAAGGTCAACAAGATAGCAAAGGTATACAAGGGTTAAAAGAATTCCAAGCCACAAGTTCTGTTATCAAATTACTAAGTGTAATTGTTGCCTCAAAATTTTCAAGTTTTTAACCAAGTCAATCTCTTACTAGCAAACTATTCACCCAACTCAACAACAAACTTAAAAGTTCATTAATATTAGCTTTGTTTTTGCACTTTCAAAGCAACTGTCCGGTTTCCTCAACCATTAGTTACCACCATGACTAATCAGATCCACAACCACAAATTCTTCCCTAGAATATGAACTCTCAATCACAGGTTTCATTAAAAAAAAAAGGAGCAATAAAAAGACAATCAATTGGGTGCCAATTACTAACATTAAAAGACAATCAACTATGTGGTGTGGTCATCCTAAATGATTTCCATATTTACAAATGATCCCTGACACATTATAACTACCCTATGTCAATAGTACTTTCTTTCAGGTAACTATCCAATATTAATAAACCAAAGAAAAATCCACTTCTAAAGAAGGTGTATCACTTTTATTTTATTTTTTTAATTTTTTATCTCATTCTCACAGACAACCACAACTTGCCTTGAGGCAATTCTTTGGATTATGTAGCACCATCACCATCGCCATTATCGTCACAAAAATTTATACTAGCAGAGTTTCCTTTTGAACCATGAGCAAGGGCAAGTTTGATGATATACAAGCACGAGAGGTTCACTATAATTCTTCCTATGAATGTATATATATATAACATAATTTAAATGATAGTATTAACTTATAGTGAAAAATGAGGAAGAAACAAAATGAACTAATCTCACTCTGGAGGCATGTATCCAAAAGTACCCACAAAACGGGTATACAATGAAGCACTCCCAACTTCAGTCAGTTTTGCCAGCCCAAATCCTACAACCTGTATGTAGTATATACAACAATTTAGACTATTTGAAATAATAAATGTTTGCAAATCACAATCTAGTACAGGCATTTTCATAACCTTCGCACGGAAGTTTTTGTCTATCAAAATATTTACTGATTTAATATCTCGATGAATATAGTTAGGGACAGTATGCTCATGGATGTATTCCACTCCTCCAGCTAAATCAAGGGCAATTTGCACCCTAGTACACCATGGCATTGGGTCTCTATCTAAAAGCAACATAAGTTATACAATCATAAAACATATTGAAATACTAAGGAATAGAATTCACACTTCGTGGATGAATAAGAATTTTTTACCTGAACCACGCATATGTTGACTTAAGTTGCCATTCTCATTGAATTCATAGACTAAGAATAATGAACCCTCCACACAGTGACCTATTAAGCGCACCTGCATTGAATTTTCAATAATATTAGTAACACATAAACTCAATAAAAATCAACAACTATACTACTTTAAGAATGATGTAGAAGTAAAAACACCTCAATATTTTACTATAATCACAGAAATACAAATCAAATGTTTTTTTTATTATCTTGTATTGAGTTTCTTTGAATTCAATATTTTCATTATATCAGATTTAGAACTTACATTGATTTATATATTGTAAACATAAACTGCCTAACTAACTCATAACAGATTATATACTGGAAACCTAAACTGCCTAACTAACTAATAACAGATTTGCTAACTAATAACAGATTTGCTAACCATTACAACTAATGCTCCTAGAATTACAGAGCTGTGATGATGCAACTGTAACAAACACTGACAGCTGTCCATGAGCTTTATAAGCTGGTAAATGCTGGTGGTAAATGCTGAGCAGAGGAGGATGAGGATGATGAGGATGATACTTCTTCATCTTGTTATGGCCGCAAAAACCGAATGCATTTGGTAAAATTCAGCAAAAGGAAAAAAGTTCCTCCTCAAAAAATTGCCACACTTATCTTTGCCTAACACATAATTCAAAATCCTATTCAATAGCTTATTCAAACGTAGTACTCCCAAAATCAATTAGCTTAATAACACTTGACTTTAACAGATTCTTTAAATATGAAACATCTTTAGTGGATCGTGATAAAGACTTGAATGCCGGCAAAAAGAGAATCAAATATCAGCATTTTGAAGAAACAAGATTATCAAACTCATAAGCACCAACCTAGCAATGTTATATACAGTTTAACATATAAAGTAAGAGATAAACATCCTAATAGATTAAATTAAAAATAGATTCTTGAAAAACTGTTCTTCATTTAAATCTGAACAATATATATATATATATATAGGAACCATTAGAAGTAAAAATAAACTCTAAAAAACAAAAAAACATGAGTCCCAATTAAGAAACATATATAATCAAAGAAAAGTTTCGAGATACCAGTAATCCAAGCAAAAAGAGTGTATGAAACAGAACATAATTCAAAGCAAAATCAAAATAAATAACAAAACAAACAGCAGCAATCATCCACCAACATTGCCAAAAAAAAGTAAAATAGGAACCATTAGAAGTAAAAATCAAAATTACCTTAAAAATTGGCAATGGCAACAAAACCTTAATTTTTCGATCAAATCCCCCCAAATAAAAATCCTAAATTTTCAATTTAAAACATAACTTCTCAAAATTTACATATATTTTTTTTTCAATTGAAGTCCCTAAATCACTAAACATATACATGAAATAGAACAAATGGTGATAGAAAAATCTGAACAGAGTTTCGCAAGAAATAAAAAAATCTGCCTTCGTCCAATCAACACCTCTTGACTGTGGTGGTTTCGAGAACCTAACTTCGTAGAGAGAGAGAGAGACAGATAGAGAGAGTGAGAGAGAGTGAAAAAGAAGCAGCGGTAGTTTACCAAAAAAAAAAGAGAATCAGTAGCAATGAGTTGAAATCGGAATTGATGAGAGAGACACGCCGCACCGTCGTCGCTCGCTTGCCGCCGTCGCATGCTGCTCGCTGTCGTCGTTCGACGCCGTCGTCTGCCGCTGCTCACAGTCGAGAGAGATCGAGAGAGAGAGAGAAAGAGAGTCATAAGAAGAGATGGGGATTTTTGATAGGGTTTTTGGTTGAAAAGATTAGGGATTTTTGAGATTAGGAATTTTTAGTTGAAGAGGGGAAAATGAGCAGGAAAGGAAGAAAAAAAAAAAAAAACAGCCGAGCGTTCAGATTTTGGGATTTTTTTTTTTTGCGACGTCAAGTTTCACTGTCACAAATAGAAATTTAAATAATAGAACGACGTCGGTTAACTAAATTTTTTTATTTGCGACGAGGGGAGGTTGTCGTCGCAAAAAATAAATTTATTTGTGACAGCAGTGATTGCCATCGCAAAAAAGGGTATTATTTGCGATTGCAATTGTTGCTGTCACAAAAACTTGTTTTTTGTGACAGGAAGTGGTGCCGTCACTGAAACCGCTTTATCGGCAACGGTAAATGATCCTGTCGCAAAAATAAACTTTTTGTGAAGGTAAATGATGCCATCGCAAATACTTCCGTGTTATATACCCTATTTTCTTGTAGTGGATGATGGCAAGCAACAGTTGCAAATAAATGAAAATTTTTGACAAGCAAATGTGCATTTGCAATGATAAGTCGCCTTTTGTCATGCTTTTCTTTTTTATCTTTTTTATCTTTTTTATTTTTATTTTTATTTATTTATTTATTTTTTTTTTGTGGAGGGGACAATTAGAAAATAAACCTCAAAATTTTAGCCTTCTAAAAAAATAAATCTCGATTTTTTAATTGTGTCAATTTAAACTCTAATATTTTGATTTGCATTTAATCTAAATCATTAGCCTATTTTTGTCAAGTAAAACCAATAGAAAAAGAATATTTCAATTATTAAACTCAATGTAAATATAAATAAAATGTCTAAAAAATCATTTTCATTCAGTTTAATAATTAAAATACTCATTTTTTTTTTATTGATTTTACTTAACAAAAACATGTAAATGGTTTAGATCTATTTTTGTCAAATAAAACCAATAGAAAAAGAATATTTCAATTATTAAACTCAATGTAAATATAAATAAAATGTCTAAAAAATCATTTTCATTCAGTTTAATAATTAAAATACTCATTTTTTTTTATTGATTTTACTCAACAAAAACATGTAAATGGTTTAGATTAAAGATAAATCAAAAGTTAAGAGTTTGAATTAATAAAATTAAAAATTTAAGATTTAATTTATTATAAGAATTAAACTCTGATTTTATAATCTCTCTCTTTTTTTCCCCCACCCCCATCTTTTTTTCCTTTCTCTGTTGTGATTTTTGTTGCCACATCATCGCTAATACTTTCTGTGGCAGCTATACTACCTTTTGCGACAATCAGTTTCCGTCGCAAAAGTTCAATTTCTTGAATTGACCACATCAGCCATTGTTATCACTACGCCATCACAACTACTACTACAATCTATATCTCCGGTACACCAAATCTCCACCGTTACTTTCCCTCTAACCTATTACCACAATAATATAAAATTTTAAAAAGAAAAATTGACAATTTTATCATGAAAATAGCAAATAATTTATTTTAATTCAACACTTCATTTTTTATCAAACAATTTTTTAATTTAAAATTTTTAACATTTCATTTTTAATACTTGATTTTAATTTTATTAATTTAAAATCAATAACTGTCCAACAATCCATAACATGATTGATAGCATTAAAAATTGCACACTTGCTGGGTCCAGTCTCAAATGAATCACTACGAAAGTCTCCATTATTTCGATCAAAAGTTGAAGTAATTAGTAGCATGATGATGTCAGTAATGACTATAATAAGCCACACGAAAGTAGTTCGCTGCTTGTAATTTCGGAAACATATTTATGTACTGTGACGACCACACTTCCGAATTCTACTAAAAACTCTATTTACGTATGAGTACACTGTACACACACTTTCCTTAACTCTGTGTGGTTTTTCCCTGTGCCCCTTCATACTTTAATAGAATCTTGTGATTATTTGATGTTTTCGAGTATAATTCTATATTATTTATTACTTGATAAGTTAATCAAAAATATTAAATGTGTTTGATTTTAGTTTTTTAAATTTAATTTTTTTTAAATTGAGTTTTTTATTTTTTTATTTTTAGTAAATATTTTTAAAATTTTAAGTAATTTTTTTACTTTTTTATATACATCTTATTTAGATGTATTTAAATAATAAAATATTTGTAAAAAAATATTTTAAAAAATTAATAAATATACAAAAATATAAAAAAATGTAATGAATTTTTATTTATTTTTTTATATTTTTGGTATTCACTAAATTTTTTAAAGATTTTTTTTCATAAATATTATATTTTTTAAGTGTATTTATTACAAACAGTGATACACAAAATTCCCAACTAATAAGCAAATTATATACTTGCATATGTTCTGTCATCCCAACCAGAACAAACAAGAATATACATATATTTACATATATATATATATATATGGAAAATGTTTGGTGGCCACAAATTCTGTAGTTTAAATGGCCCGAAATTGTCAAAACGACATCGTTTTGAGTGTTTTGAGCCATTTGAGCCACAGAATTTGTGGCCACATAACATTGCTAATATATATATATATATTAAACTATACAAATATTTATAATATAAAGAGTTATATATTAGCAGGGTCATTATGTGATAAGTAGGGATACAAATGAATTGAGCTGTTTATGAACAGTTTGAGTTTCACTAATTTAAAATTCGTTTGAGCTAGATTCACTTACTAAATAAATGAGTTCGAGTTTGATTTTTAGGCTCGTTTGTTAATTAAGCCAAGCTCGAGTAGCATTAAGCTCGACTTGATAAGATTCGTGAACATAAAAATAAATTAATTAATATTTATTTTTAATAATATATTAGATAAATTTTCAATAATCTATTTTATTTTTTATTTATGTTTAGTATTTGTGTAAATTTACATATTTGATTGATGAAATTTATTATTAATATAAGTATTATTATATATTTTACTCATAATTTTGTATTTTTTTATCTTAATAAGTAAATTAATTTTAATTTTTTTTTTTTTCAAACTCGAGCTCAAGTTCAAACTTGACTCGTTTATGTAATCGAGCGAAATCGAGCCGAGCTTGAGTTTAACAAATATTTGACGAGCTGAGCTCGAACTTGATTTTTGAAACTCGAGTTTGACTAATTTTAATAAATGAGCTTGAACATTCAAAAGTTTGGTTTGGATTGGCTCAACTCGTTTGCAACTCTGATGATAGGTATTCTTTTTTTTTTTTTTTTTTACACATTCAATGATATAATGCCTAATTTTATTGTTATATTTATGAATCTATAATTATAGATCTCAAACGCTTTTCAATCTCAAAACACAATCTAACAAATGTGAATATTTTGAAATAAAATCATGAAATTTTTAAAATCACGAGATCGGTCCATAACATTTGAGAAAAAAAGTTTATAAATAAGGAAAATTTTCATATCAGAGTGTAATTTTAAAATTAATTACAAATAAATAGTTAAATTTATAAATATTAATAATTAAAATTATTAAGTACTTTTAGAGTACCACTTGTTCATACTTCTTTGTTATAACTTCGGTATCCGGAGATTCGGCGTCACAACAAGACAATAACTGAAGTTATAACAAAGTAATAGTGCAACGGAATAAAATAAAAAGGTACCCAAATCTTAATTTAGGGGTGATTTGGGATATTCTAAATAAGTGCACTTTTTGACTTTTTATATATAAAAAAAAATGTGTAGAAAAGTAGAGAAAGTGGTTAGAAAAATAGAAAGAGTGACTAGAAAAGTAAAGAAGAGATGTTGATAAATGTTGGTTAATATGACCCAAATAAGTGTATATATGTAAGAAAAGAGTACACTTTTTTAGTTCTTTCCAAACACCTACTTAATTATAACAAAAATATATACGTTGGAGCTTCTATTCATTTACATTGTCAGAGCTAAAATATGACTATAAAGTGTCTTGTGCCTATCCCACACTAGTTCTAACACGTCACATGAAAGTGGTTAACAATTATAAACACATGGCAAAGTGAGAAATATTACACTGAGAGCATAACAGTATAAAAATCACCACGGGCAATTATATGGGCTAAACAGAGATTAGTTCGATATTAAAATATAGAATATATAATACATAAATTATTTTGAATAACAGACATATAATCCAGAAATCATATAAACAAAATAATTATAATCACGATACAGAACAGAACATATGTATGGACTCAAGAAGTGACTCGTATGAATTCTAGAAGTAGCTCGTAAAATGCATTGTTTAGGGTTATGGGTGTTGATTTCCGACCACACAACTAAACAGAAGAACTCAGCAAAAGAGCACCGGTAGAATAGATTAAGTCCAAACAACCTGCTACAAAAAGATAAGAATTCGGCAGTGGTTCGTCCACCCAGCGGCACTCCGACAATCAAGTTAGTAATTATCTCTCAAAGATAGCCACTAGTACTTAACTCACTAGACAGAATACAAAAAGCATACCTTAGACCCACGAGGGTGCCTTACTTTTATAGCCAGCACTTACCTGATCCCTGTAGAAGCCTAGCTTCAATAGACTTTGGCTTAATGCTCATCTTGGACTTCTAGCTAGATAGAGATAAACTCCCTAAGAGCTTCATCTTTATCCAAACTGAGGTCCTCTCTTATTCTAGGACTCTTGTGCCCTATCTGCTCATCTCAGATTCCGGTATCTTTGCAGATAACCTCGGCTTAATCGAAATCATCTCGGCAACATGACCAAGACACGTGGCACCTTGGCTGACATTCTGGTGCCACCTTAGCCACGTGTTGTCATTCACAAAATATGTCTCTACAACTGCCCCTTAGGTTCTATTACCTCGGCATCCTGAGGTGATGGAATCTATATCATTTGTCCACGTAGCACTTCGACTAAGATTTATTTTATTCTCTAGACCGAGATCATCACTCGTCGGCTTCATACAACCAAGACTCTGCAGTCCACTTGATCAATGGTCAAGAACTAAAAACCAAGCTCTTCAAGTTCCTTAACTAGGACCGTTTTTCTAGCCGAGGTTCTTACTTCACTAAATCAAGAACTCCAAGAGTTCTATCTGCACATGAGTTGTCACACACGGTTTTCTCAACCGTTTCG